TTTAGGGTTAGGTTTAGGGTTAGGTTTAGGGTTAGGTTTAGGGTTAGGTTTAGGGTTAGGTTTAGAGGAGTTAGGTTTAGGTTTAGGGATTAATTTTAGGTTTACGGTTTACAGCGTGCTTCTGTCTCTGCGCTGTTGTCGCCCTGTTGATGATGTCAGCGACGCGGTTTAGTCGGGCGCGGTTTAGTCGAGCGCGGTTTTGTCGGTGAACCGTTGGGGGCAATATGCTAACTCTGTAAACCACTTGGAGAGGGCTGAAAGCCCTATGAAGCAGTATATAAATCTAACTGCTATTGCTATTGCTATTGCTATTGCTACCTACCTATCTACCTACCTACCTACCTACCTACCTACCTACCTATCCTGTTTCCCATCTATCTTTCAAGAAATCAAAATAGGTTTCTTGCTGTCAAGACACTTTTATATTTTAACCTCTGACATACATTTGGCATTGTTATATATTTACCTTTTTGTGTTGTCAATTTGCGTGTTATTCCTTGTGAAGATCTAATAGGCATATATTTCACAATAGCTTAGTAAATATATTGTTGATCATTAAACAGGCTATGTTTCTATACTGCTTGATCATTGACTATTCGAGAAAGATGCAATGATTAAATATGATTCATTCTTAACTTACCCATTGAAGCTCCTTGAGAATGGCCAATGTAATATAAACTATCCTGCTTTGTCTTATTTAGAATAAAGTTCATAGCTGCAGGAATATCATAAATTGCCATTTCATGAAAACTGTAATACAGAGACACAAGCAAAGACACAAAACACTGCTGAGATTTATTCTGTATAATAGGTTAAGGATAAAAAAATATATAAAGGCTTTTAATCTTGCCTTTATTGTTTTTTAAAAAAATAAGAAGGTGAACACATCTTACACTCCTTCCTCCTCCTATTCTGCCTATAACAACTACCCTGGGAGGTGAGTAGTGTTGGAAGAGAATGACTGGTCCAAAGTCACCCAGCCAGCTTTCATGGCTAAGGTAGGATTGAAACTCACAGGTTCCTGGTTTCTGGCCTGTTTGTATGACATAGACAGCATAGAAATGAAGGGTTAGGTTTAGGGTTAGGTTACAGCGCGCTTCTGTCGGCGCGCTGTTGTCAGCGCACTTCAGGGCTCAATCGTCGCTCCTTCGTCGCACGGTTTTGTCGGCGTGGTTTAGTCAGGCACGCTTTTGTCGTTCGCGCATTTGTGGTGGAACCATATTTACTGTGTTTTTCAGACTATAAGACACACCGGAGCATAAGACACACTATGGTTTTGAAGAGGTAAATTTTAAAAAAAGGTTTTTGCACTCTGAAGGCCTCATTTTTTTGCAAACAAAAAGGGTATGCAGAGCTTTGGGGGGCTTGTAGAGGGCTCCTGGGGATTGCGGGGGGCAAAAACGAGCAAAAAAACCAGCCTGTTTTTCACAAAAATGGGCCATTTTTTGCACACACAAAAAAAGGCATGCAGATTCTTTGGGAGGCTTCTAGAGTGCTCCTGGGGGTTGGGGGGCAGCAAAAACAGCCCTCCCCAGCGTCCCAAACCCTCTGCACGTCCATTTTTGCAAAGAGGGCGGGGTTTGGGTAGGCGAAAAATGCAGTATATAAGACGCACCCTGATTTTCAACCTCTTTTTTGGGAGAGAGGTGCATCTTATACTCTGAAAAATACGGTAGTTACTATATAAACTGTTCCGAGCTTTACCTGAAATCCCAAAATTCTTCTTGGTCAACAGTTAGGGTCTGGTGCCTTCTACACCAGGTAGTTCCTCTGTTATTTATTATCCATACATCATAGCCAGCATCAGCTAGAACAAAACCCAGACTGTGGGTGGGAAGATTGATGAGCCAAGATCTTCCTTCAGTCAGAATACCCGATACCAGTAACACAACTGGTTTAGACTCTTGAAAATAAGAAACATTAGGCATTATAACATGCAAGGAGCATTCTAGCAAGGAGCATTGCATTTCTATAAAACATGGAATGTCACAATTCTATCCTTATGATAACCTATGGAACCTTGGGGCTGAACATGAGCATAAATGTATGAAGGCTGAATGAAAAGTAATGTTTGCAATTTTATAAATTGCCAATAGATGGTAGTATAGCCTTGACATGCTAGAGGTTCAGGTATATTTTTTAGGACCTATTGTTCCACTTCAATTATTGGAAAGCTGTTAGGAGAAAAGTTAGTGTTGCTATTGTTTGTGAAATGGACGCCATAGTGAGACTCATCAGTACACGTTAAGCAATGTGCTATGACTGATGCGCTTCCCTTGAAAAGTGTTCGAAGACTTCAGCTAGTCCAGAATGCAGCCGCGCGAGCGATTGTGGGTGCACCTCGGTACACCCACGATACACCTATCCTCCGCTAGCTGCACTGGCTGCCCATTGCTCTCCGGACTCCCTTCAAGGTGCTAGTCATTACTTTTAAAGCCCTGCATGGCATCGGACCTGGGTACCTGAGAGACTGCCTCCTACCAATTACCTCCCAAAGACGGATTCAATCACACAGGCTCGGCCTTCTCCGGGTCCCATCTGCCAGCCAATGTCGGCTGGCCACCCCCCAGGGGAGAGCTTTCTCTGTTGCTGCTCCGGCCCTCTGGAACGATCTCCCCGTGGAGATCCGGACTCTTATTACCCTCCCGGCCTTCCATAAAGCTACCAAGTTCTGGCTGTTCCGGCAGGCTGGGGGCTGTTGAAGTATCCAGCCCCGCTTCCTTTGTGACTGTTGTGTATTTTAATATTGTTTGTATTGTCTTATTTATCCCCTCCCCCGTTTCATTGTGAGCCGCCCGGAGTCCTTCGGGAGTGGGCGGCATACAATACCAAATAACGAAACGAAACTGATATATATTTTTTACTGCTAAAGGAGTCTGTTTGAAGGTGGGTGAAATGAGGACCCAGACTGTGGGGGGCAAGTTGCTGACTCTGTAAACCGCTTAGAGAGGGCTGAAAGCCCTATGAAGCAGTATATAAGTCTAACTGCTATTGCTATTGCTAAAAAGTAAAAAATAAAATAAAATAGGTGCCATACTTGTCCCAATTTCTTTAGTGTCAACGGAACTTTGATCCATATCAAAGTTGATTGAGTAAAAGCAGAGCCAGAAACAGGGACTGTTGTGGAAGCTGAACCAATGGGGCCCACACATTTCTGCGAAGGTGCATAGGCTCGCACGCATTATCAATCGCCTTCAAATTAAAAGCAATGCTGTTGTATTGCATTCAAGGCATTCGCTTATTTACATTTGATCTCTAATTCCTGATTGACCTCACAGAGGCCAGATAGGGGGAGGCAAAGGGCTGAATATGACATGGGCTCCATAAAAGTCCCAGGTCTGATTTACTTACATTCATTTTGGAGGGGGTGGGGGTGGGGAGAGGAACTAGTCCTTGCTGTTTCCTTAACAAGGTTTTCTGGAATTGGTTTGCCATTGCCCCATTCTAAAAGTGAGAAAGGGAGGCGTGCCCGAGGTAATCTAGTTGGCTTGCTACCTTAGGCAGTACAGGAACTCACTGTTTCCAATTTGTAGCCTGATGCTTAAGCTACTACACCCAAACTGATTCTCATCTCATCTATACCACCTACGTACCGTCAGGTAGAATGAATCAGGAACCGTATATTTAAGTTGTAGTTAAGAAGGTTTATTGCTCAAACCTATTCAGAAGAATGTACTCGGTGTTCAATGCTAAATTGGTGCTACATAGGAATCAATGGAATTCGAGAGGGGTTGGACTTAGACTGTGGGAATCTAATGATTCTAGGCTGATGACTCACTAAATTCTGCCCTCTGTCTCTGCCTGCTCTTCTTTTACACATTCAAACAAACCAAACGTAACAAGCAAACAAAACTCTTGCATGGAGATGTATTATGGTTTTAGGTTTAGGTTTCATTTGACTTGTATGCCGCCCTATTCCCGGAAGACTCAGAGCGGCTAACAATCAGAAGGGGAGGGGGTACAAAAATAAAAATAGAAAACAGAAATTTAAAATACAACAACAGTCATAACCTCGAAGGGGGCTGGATAGTTCAACAGCCCCAGGCAAACCTGCCGGAACAGCCAGGTCTTAACTGCTTTGCGGAAGGCCGGAAGGGTGGTAAGGGTCCGGATCTCCACGGGGAGCTCGTTCCAGAGGGCCGGAGCAGCCACAGAGAAGACCCTCCCCCAGGGAGTCG